ACTGGATGCTCGTTCTTATTTTCTTATCTAACCACGTGAGTTAGGTAAGAGGATTATTGCTGCTGTTATGTTTGTATGGAGACAGAGCCAGGATGTAATTAGCTTAGCTTACCATGATGATTTGAAGCTGCATTAAACACCTGCAAGTGAGTAACAGTCGTTTTTTGTTCTACACAGACTGTCTAAATATACTTTTTTTTCATGGCCTTCTCGCCTCCGTGTCTGCGTGTCTTCTTCTACATATATTTGCCTTATTAATGCAAAAACGGTGATGTGTTAACTGGAAAGGTCAAATAAAAATGTAAAACACAAAGATAATTTTTGAGGGTTGACCCCACACAACCTTCATAAAACAATGGGCTGATTCCTGTACAAAAAATTAAAGGGCTTAGCTTTATTTAGCAAACACCCTGCTGGCTCCAACATCCTAAATGATATTACTTTTTTAATGCAACTTTCTGCAAAGAGAAAATATTAGAACATTTTCAAATTAGAATAAAATGTTTTAGTCGTTTAAAAAGTGTCGCTCAAAAGCGAAAGTCCTTGAAAAGGTCTTTATCAAACATTCATCTTTCTTGTCTTTGACGTGTAAGTGACTTTTTGGACTGAACTTTACTTTTGAGCATCAGTAATGATTTGTGACAATGAGCTACACAGACATGAGAATACTTGATCCCCCGTAGCTGCTTTTAGAATAATGGTCCATACGAGTTATGATCAGTGTTGCAAAACGCCATTATATACTGTTTATAATATCAATGTGTCTTTACCTACTGAGTATACAGATGGATAAAAAACTTTGTAAAATACATTATATTTCATCATGTGCATGTAAATCTTAATTCTAAGGCATGAAAACCACAATAAAGCAAAAGAAATTGCCACTGAATTAATAGAGAAAAAAAAAAGATAAATCTTATTTGAAGCAACTGGATGAAGTTGAGTTTCAGGCAGTAACCCGTTTCCCTGTGGGGGTTTTAATCCCAACTTTAATCTAGATTACATCCACATCTGTCATGTCCCTGCGTGCCTCCACAACCTTCTTGGACCCCACGGTGCTGCAGGCAACTCTTCTCAGTAAAAGAACTCTGAGAGGTCCAAAGGCCACAGCGGGATTAAACAGAGTAGATGAGGACAGATTTGTTCCCGACACGAAGATCAACAATAACCAGAGACCGCTGTCTTAAAAACATTAGATTAGACATTAGAGAGACGCTTTTCCACAGTGCTGTAATTGTGCGCATGAAAACGAGAAGGTGATGTAAGAAGCGGATTGCCACAGAATTCACAGAATACTTCTCTGTCTGGCAGCGGCAGCTGTTTCTGTTTCTTCTTCTCAGAGTAAATGTTCAGCAGTAGGACTCTGATTGAGCATCCCAGACGAGCAGAGATTAGACCATCGCACCAAGGAAAAAAAATACAGACCAGAAAACGGATTTCTCTCAGATTACTAGGAGAGCTTTTATTTGGAGCGTTGCAAAGTACATTTCATGGTTTTAGTGCTCACTCTCTCTCACTCACGCTCGTCTTCATTCAAATAAAAACACCTTTTTTCCTCCATGTCCGTTCCTTTTGTCACTGATTTAGAAACATTTGGAATAATTATGCAATTTCTTAATCGTTTACCTGGAGTTTATATTTGAGAATGGAGAAACCATTTCAGTCCAAGCATAGAAATATACACAAGAGAGATGAATCGTATCATATATGAGACAATCAATTTGCTAGAGCATGGCTTCAAGCTAGTATACAGTACGAAACACACTGAGGTCATACTGTAGGCAACAGATTAAAAAGTAATGAGAATGAAACTAAAAGTTGCAGTCAGTATTTTCACAGTGGGAGGAAAAGCAACTTTGGATTGAATATTGCATGTTTATGGACGCAGCCGTTTACTAATATTGCTGCAGAGGCTTTCTGGTCGGACAAAATCATCCGATTTAAAGGGTTGTGTGTCTCTCAGCGCGGACACTTTTACTCCTTATGAAATCCTTGAAGAGCAAAAGAAATGCGTAATGTTTGCTTAATCTCTTTTTATCCAAACAATGCAGATGCCCTCAGAGCTGTGTAGATAGTGAGGCCTTTTGGAAACAGTACTTTCATCGTATACTGCACAGTCACATCTTAGAGGTCAGTCTGTGCAAATGCAGCTCAGAAAGCTGCTGCCGGAAGGCTGTGATTATTATTTCCAGCAGCTTCGCCACCTTTCCCTAACAGAGCCAGAGATTCCAGCGAGTGCACATTATCATTGTCTAGATGCATTTTAGGTGGAGCCGAGTTCTCACCGCCTCCTTCACCTCCCGCCTCCTGTGGCTCCCCACTGGCAGCAGCAGCTGCAGCGGCAGCCACGCACTCCTCTTTCAACAATCGGTCATGCTCCATCTTGAGCTCTTGGTAGGAGCGGGAGAACATGTGGAAGATGGAAGTAGCAGGGAAGGCCATGATGAGAATGCCACTGAGGATGCTGCTCAGTGCTACCACCTGTCCCGGAATGGATCTGGGCACCATATCGCCATATCCCACTGTCGTCATGGAGATAATGGCCCACCAGTAGGAGGCGGGAATGCTGGTGAAGTCATGGGTACCTGTGAGCTCGCTCTCAGCCAAGTGCACCAGCGGGGAGAAGAGGGTGACAGCGACGCAGAGAAAAAGCAACAGAAGGCCAAACTCCCGGGTGCTGCGTCGCACCGTCAGCCCCAGCGTCTGCAGGCCGAGAGAGTGGCGAGCCAGCCTCATCACGTAGAGAATTCTCAGCGCTCGCAGGATCCTCAAAACCAGGCCTAGCTTGTCCAGGTAGCCCTTACCTCCTCCCGGCCTCTCGTGTTCCAGCTCTGGGTCTTTCTCTGTCACCACCAAGGAAACGTAGTAGGGCAGGATGGCCATAGCGTCGATGATGTTGAGCGGCCCGCGGAGAAAGTCCAGCTTGCTCTGAGCTTGAATGAACCGCAAGATGAACTCCAGGGAGAACCAGGCCACACACACCGTCTCTATGATGAACATGTTGTAGCACTTAGATGAACACTCGCCCTGAGGTGGAAGAGAAGGCAAGGCAGAGAAATCGAGGATAAGAGAAGCGAGAATTGGCAGGGAGTAAGACAGATGGTGAGAAAAGCACAGGGAGAAGATTCAGAGGTCAGATAATCGTCTTTGGTATTCATTAATTAATCATAAGTTACATTCGGTCAGTATGCTAAAGCTACTGCAGCTGCACTGGTGGGTTATAAAGTGACGTGATCGATCAATTATTGCATTTGGGAAGACCTCAAGGATTAATCCTCCATGGGAGTGGCGACAAAACGCAATCAAACTTGTGTGCCCTCCAACGACAGTGTCAACGAAGAGCAATGCAATAATAAAAAACTCCTCTAAAAGAATAGTGGGAGTGGGGTGTGTGTGTGTACATGACACTGCTGCTGGCTGACCCTCGTTTTCACACACTTGTGCCATCACGCAGATATATTCCTCGCAGCCAGGACAGCTCTTTGTCATGTGACTTTGAATATATGTTGTTCTGAGTATTTGCTACAATGTTTCTCTTAGAAGCGCAGTTTCTTCAGGCAACACTTTGTTGTCGGTTTCTGACTGTAGTAAGTGAGAAATATGCTAAAGTATCCCCTCTGTGAAGAGGAGACTTTGCGCCCCGATGATGGGGAATCATCAGTTTTTCATAATGTTATGAGTTATTTGGTTTTTACACAGGCTGAATGTGAGACTGCATTATTGAGACAGACACTGTTTATGTCTTCTCTGTGACACTCCTTTCATCAGCCTCCCCCCCATTTCTCCCCACGTTTCCCATTGCTCACTCTCTGCTTTTATCTGCACTGTCTCATTCATTTCCCTTCTATCTCACAACTTTTTTATCCTCCTGCAAGCCTCTCCTTCATCCCTCTGCCTCCATCTCCACCGTCTCATCATTTATTCTTCTTTCCTCCTGTATCGCCCTCTTCGAACTCCCTCCCCTCTCATTCTTCATTCTGTGCTCGCCCCTCACACTGCTCTTCTTCTGCATTAAAGCCTGCATTCATTCATTCATTCATTCAGCGTTCCACTAAGTGAAGTTTCTCTATGCGTTGTATCCGTCATACACACATACATCTGTTTACTTCGTGTTGCATTATCACTTGTGTCCTCTCTGCCTTTTTCACTCTTTTTAATCCCACTGTGATGTTTTGCCTTTTTGCTTCATTCCTGCAGAGTGGCTCTGCATATTTTGTAATGCTGGTGCAGGAATATGTGTGCTAAGATATTGTGACTTTCAAAGATGTTCCTTTGTGCAGGTTGCATCATGCGGTGATGCTAGCAGTGATAATAGCAGCGTTTATCCAGTCTATAAAGGAGGACAGTCTCTCAGCTCTCTGGCATGAATCTTAGTTCTTCAAAGAGACACTTTTTAGGTTTTATGCTCTACAATCTACATTTGAACAGGTCTTAATATTAACTGTTTAAATGCTTTTGAACAGGATCTTAATTTTATTTGATTGTATTGTGTTAATGTTTTATATATAAGGCCTTTCATGGCAGATGTAGTTCTTTTGATCATTATTTTTAATGGACAAATATTCATTAAGTAACTTCATGTTGCTTTAGATTTACATCCAGTACGACTTGCATACTGTAGCATAATGCAGCATCAGCTTCTTTCAAGGCTTCGCTGAGTTTTATGGTGTTTACACCCAGTAAAATATTCAAACCCAAGATTCCACATCTTTCACTTGCTGCATGGAAATAAAATTAAGCCTGACCTCTTTGCTATCTTATGGTAGGAACTGACCCCCACTGTGATGAAACTGTAAGCCTAAAACAATATGTATGAGGCTTCATGTCTCCCAGGTGGCTTAAAGTCTCTATGTGACTATAAGAAGTAAAAAAAAGCTCTCTGTTAACTGAAGACATCGATTAAAATCGATCAGTCTTTTGTTTTCCATTTTTAGACTAGTAATTAAAGATTTCAGTCACTGTCTCAGTTTAGCTTTTGATATTTACTAATTGCACCAAACGGCTTTCTAAATGTGAGGATTTCTAGGAAAGAAATGATGTAAAAGTTGCTGAACATGATTCAAAAACAGATGAATAAACTTTAGTCCCGACAATCGTGATAAACATGAACCTTTAATGGTTCCTAGAAGGAGGCGCAGGGCAGAAACACA